ACATTTCCTCTATTCTCATCTTTCTGTCAAAGTGTTATAGTTTTACTAATTGTATAGCAACTTCTTCTAATTTTGGCTTGATCCACATTTGCTATGTATATTATTAGAAACGTGTTTAAAATATTTACTAGTGAGCAATGTGAGATCCTATGAATTTTCATTGTGATATATCAATACATTGCATGATGTTAACATCAGGATAAACATAAGGACAAGGTCAAGGCATTTATCCTTTCTTTGTGGTAAAAAAAATTCGATATCCTTTCTTCTAGCTTTTTGAAATATACTGTACATTATTGATATGACTATCACCTCCAGTGTTCAAAAGCACACCAAAATGTCTTACTTCTAACTAGAACTTTGTAACCCTTTATCATGTTTTATTTCTTCTATAACACATTTTATTTTATTTTCATTTAGTAATTATTGAAGTTTTTGTTTTTGTTTTCCTCTTCTTTTGCTTAATTGTCGGTGTACCTATCACTAATTCATCCTCAAAGTTTTCCCTTGTTATTTTCTTACTGTCTTTAAACATTGGGCATTGTTAATTTCATCTTCTTAAAGAAATTTTCCCTGAAGCCTCTGATCAACTCCAGTCTAGACTGTTGCTCCTTAGGTCTGCTGCATAGCTTTCATCCTAGAGATTTTTCTTTTTCTCCTTTGTTCTGAACCACCTATTTCCATGGTATTATTTTCTTTCTTTGTTTACTCTCTTATTTTGCTGGATCAAATTCCCCACTAAGCCTCCCCAAAACGAGGTTCTTTGGAGGTAAATTATTTGAGTCACTTAGATATTTTAAAATATTCATGTTCTTTATACCTGATTTTTAATTTGGCTGGATGTGAAATTTGTAGAAATCTGTTTCTCTAAAAATTTCTTATATTGTTGTTGAAAAATCCAATGCAATTCAAGATTTTTATCCTATTTTGATTCTGAGAAATTTTTTCCTCCTTTCTCTGGAATCTTTATCCTCAGCATTCTAAAATCTCATAATGATAGGCCTTGCTCTGGGTTCATTTTCATTCTATGAAGGATGAATACTTTTCCATTTTCCATTGTGAATACTCATGCCCATATGATCAGTGAAACTTTTTCTTTGATTTATTTCTTTCTTCTTCTTTCTCTGCATTATTTCCTAGAAATGTTATTTTTCACATATTGCTCTCATGACTTAGTTCTCTAATTTTCTTGTATTTTATTTATTATTTTCTACCTTCTTTTTTGGACATTTTCTGAGTTTAATAACCAGTGAATTTTAAACTTCTGCTATTATATTTTTAATTTTTGAGAGCATTTTTTCATTCAATGTTTCATTTTTGTATCATCCTGTTTTTGTTTTATAAATACACTCTTTTCTAGCCTGCACAATTAATATATTCATCTGTGTTGTGTTCTAAAAATGCCTGGTGATCTTGGGTTGTTTGCTTCTGTTTACATAAAAGATACTAAACACTGACTATGCTAAACCTTGTGCGTAGATATGCTTATAGACTATTGCTGTCATTTAAAGGTGATCTGATTGGGATGTTTTGTTGAGAACCCCCTAATATTAGTATCTTTAGTTCTTTCTTTCCTTTTTTTATTTTTATGTATATTTTTTAGTTGTAGATGAATACACAGTATCTTTATTTTTATGTGGTGCTGAGGATCAAACTCAGTGCCTCATACATTCGAGGCAAGCGCTTTACCACTGAGCTACATCCTCAGCCCCTATTTCTTTCTTTTGTTGTTTTTTTTTTTTTTCCTCCTCTTTGGTCATTTTCCCCAGAAAAGAATCATTTTTTATATGAATCTGCTCTTCTGCTTAATGGACACAAGCCTATTTGTCTCTTTGGGATATATGGAGGTAATAAGGCTAAGAGCAGATATCATCAATATACACACACATATGTGTCTGTACATGTGTATATACACACATACACATACACACAGACACACATAACTTCGTATGTGGTTCTGGATACACGTGTCAGCCAAGTGCTTTTACCATTGAGCTACAGTTCCAGTACTTTATCATTTATATATAACATTCATTTAATCTCCATGATTTTTGCTCAGTATGCCTACTCTCTGAGTCCTTTTGTGCTTTTATATCATAATACCCAAGACTGAGTAATTTTTAAACAATTGAAGTTTATTTGGCTCATAGTTCTGGAGGTTAAGAAGTTCAATATCAAGGTGTGCACTTGTGAGGAGGGACTTTGTGCTGCATTGTCCTATAGTGGAATACAGAAAGACAAGAGAATGTGAGAAATCAAGAGATTGAATTTGCAGCCTTAAGCCCTTTTATACTTGGCATTAGTCCACTTAAGAAGGTAGAAGCCTCATAACCTAAACACCTCATATTAGGCCCTACCTCTCAACACTATTGCATTGAGCCTTAAGTTTCCAATCCATACTTTTTAAAAATTTGTTTTAATTAGTTATACATGACAGTAGAATGCATTTATGCACTTTGATATCATACATAGATGTGGAGTTCCAGTTATCCAAATAAATTGTTTTACCCTATCTAAAAAAATAATTCTAATTTTTTGCTAGGGTGGTCAGGGAAGGTACCTGTGATGTGGGATCCTCAGAGAGAGGATATGGAACAATGTTATACACAATCAACTATTTCAGCATTCAGCAAGTCCTCCACTTCTAGCCATACTTCATTCCCATTCCATAGGTGCTATTTCCTAAGCCTTTATAGATGTAGATGACTATAGCATGAACCAGGTGCTTCTTGACTTTTTTTTTGCCAGCTTCGGATCTCCCAGATTGGCTAATCAGTTATTAGGCATCATCTATGTATTAGCTTTGAAAGTTTTGTTGCTTTTGACCTTTCTCCAATTTTTTTTGTCCCTGTATAGTTTACTAAAATTTAAAAATGGCATAGAAAAGAAATGTCTTCTACTATGGTAGGCCAAACTATACCTGACTGGGTCTGACTCTTTGCTGAGCAGGTGTGGCATCCAGTGGTCATGCTGCTGGATAGCCTCAGTCTTCTAGGTTTTGAGTGACTGTGTCTTCCTGCATGGGCATGCCTTTTGGGTGGATCTATGCTCACCTGGTCCTTTGTAATATTATCCCTTGCCCTGTTTAGGATAGAATGTTCCATGGAGATGCCTTTTTTGTGTCCCCTTCTCTTACTGGGCCCTGGGGTGTGGTCTTCCTAGATGTAAGTCAACCTGCTGTCAGCAGACATCATGAAGCTAGACCTTGAAACCTGACCCCTTACCTCATTTGAATAGCTTCTCCTCAATAAAAGGGGTCAGCGCCTGCTCTCTCTCTCTCTCTCTCTCTCTCTCTCTCTCTCTCTCTCTCTCTCTTTCTGTAGAGTCTTAAGGTCAGAGGAGCCGTCACAGCTCCCAAAAGAAGGTATTTCTGTCTCTTGTTTGGTTGTTTCACACAGCCCAGTTAGCCCAGTTCCCCTGAAGTGAACCTGAGTGTTTTAGTTGCGAGCAACCTGGCATTCCGCCTGTCATCTCTATACAAAATCTTTAAGTAACTAGCTTTTAACAGTTAGAATATACTGTATCCAAGTTTAAAATTAATTAATCCTATCCACTTTAAATTCAATTCCTATTTAAGTCACTTCATGTTGACTTCTTACTCTTAGTATGTAATTTTTCCTAAAGTTAACTGATGAAAACATATTCAATCTGAGCTTTCATGATTTTCTTCTACCACACAATTTCTTCATATTTCCCTCTGTTCTTTCAGACATTCCTCCTGTGCTCTTGATCCTGTCACTCCAGGCTCTTCTGGAATCTTCTCTACCTCAAAAAAAAGCCAAATGCCCTTATTTTCTATTTCTCCTAGCCTGTACACTTCTTTAACTGCCTGTTAGTAAGCCTACTAAGTTCCTTAAGTTAAAAAGTAAATAAACTCGGGCTGGGGATATAGCTCAGTTGGTAGAGTGCTTGCTTTGCATGCACAAAGCCCTGGTTTCTATCCCTAGAGTCAGATAGATAGATAGATAGATAGATAGATAGATAGATAGATAGATAGATAGATAGATAGATAAACAAACAAACCCACCCACCCACACAACTGAGCAAGGTGGCACATGCCTGTAATCTCAACTATATGAGAGGCTGAGGCAAGAGGATCAAAAGTTCAAGGCCAGCCTGGGCAACTTAGTGAGATCCTATCTCAAAATTTTAAAAAGGGGGGCTGGAGTTGTAGCTCAGTGGCAGAACGCTTGTCTAATATGTTTGAGGCTCTACGTTCAATCCTCAACATCACATAAAAACAAATAAGTAAAAAAAAAAAAAAAGTAAAAAATGGTTGGAGATAAGCACAGAAGAAGAGTACCTCTGGGTTCAATCCCTAGTCCTGTCAAAAAATAAATAAACAAGCAAACAAATTTTCCTTAAATCTTAAAATTCAGTCTCAGACTTCTTACTCTTCTGCAGTCTTTCCTTAAAAAAAAAAAAAGCCATTATTTAAAAACATTTTTTTTAGTTATAGATGAACACAATACCTTTATTTATTTATTTATTTTTATGTGCTGCTAGGATTGAACCCAGTGGTCTCACAAGTGCTAGGCAAGCGCTCTACCACTGAGCTACAAGCCCAGCCCCCAAAATGCCATTTAAAAAAAAAGAAAATTTACTTTCTGTTTTCTCTTTAACTCTACACAAACATAGTCTTCTTTAGGACTTTTTTGAAAGTCATCTTCTAAGCAAAACTATCTACCCCTTCTGTACCATACCCTGCTTGACTAACCCCTTTCCATGTTGTGCTTTATTTTCTTTTTCTTTCTAATTCTTGTCTTGTTCTTGTTTTACCTCACATTTCTCACCTCTTCTCCCTCTTTTTTCACATGCCCCTTATATATTGGCTTCTACTTCCTTATACTGCCCCGAGAAGAAAGCAGCTGAAAGTTGTGAGACCTACTGATGTTAATACAGAGACTTGCTGATTTTTGAGGCATTTTTTTCCTTTAAAAATGACATGATTCTTAAATAAATTTTTATGACATTAATATAGTTTAACTTTTAATATTTAGGCAGGTGCAGTAAAGGATTATATTAAGATGATACTTCAGAATGATTCACTTAAGTTTCTGGTTTTTGCTCACCATTTAAGCATGCTCCAAGCTTGCACAGAAGCAGTCATTGAAAACAAGGTATGTTGACTTTGTTATGTAAAATAATTTTTAGAGTGCAAATTTGTACTATTCTAAAAATTACTTGTAGTCTCATAATTTAGGTAGAATATTCCCCCCTTCTTCAGATGATGTTTTATAAAATTTATTATTTTAGAAATAATGTATTATTAAATTTTTTTTCAAATTATACAAATGCTATATTATTATGATGTACTATTTTATCTTTCATGCCAATTTTTAAATTTTCCTTTGATAAATTTATTTGAATTCATTAATCATAGGTTGCTTGGAAACAGTAATGTGAATTCTTATTTTTTTTCCTAGATATACCATTTGAAAGTAGTATGTTCTTTAACAATTAAAAGTTAAAATTTTTGTTTATCTGCATGGTGTCCTTTGAATGTGGGTTATGTAGACGATAAAAGGAATCCAGCCACTATTATCAACTAAGTACTTTTACACCTTTTAAACTTCCAGTCAGTATTTTCTATAGAAAATTATTGATAAGATTTAATATAGATGAATTTGAAACAGATGGCCCATGTGACTTACCAGATTAGTGCTACCAAATAAGCTGGCTCTACCACATTTTCTTCAGTCAACCTTAATTTCCAATGGTTCTGTCAGCGACAGCATCATCCATTTTTTTCCACATTTATACCTGCCATCTATTCTCTTTAAATGATGAGAACTTCTAGAGATGTTCAAAAATGGCCAAAAGAAATTCTCTGACAAATATGTAAGCTTGCTAGACATGCAACAACAAAGCCACTTGTCATTATAGGTCAGTTTTTTAAAATCAGGAATAAAGCCATGTTTTTTTAAAAAAAAACTTTATATCAATTTTTTAAAATGTTACTCCTGTGTCATTTATTTATTTATTGTGGTGCTGGGGATTAAACCCAAGGCCTTGTGCATGTGAGGCAAGCAGTCTACCAACTGAGCTATCTCCCCAGCCCCTTTATATCGTTTTTTTTTAAGAATTAACTATTATGTTCATTAACATTAGCCAAAGAAGTAGTCCTAGTATTTCCTCCATAGAGCACATAGAGTAATAAAGTGTTATACATTAAAAGGTACTTTCTCATTGATTATTCTATAGTATCTATACAACACCTTGTGAGGTGTTAATTAAACTTAGAAATAATTTTTAAGTGATAGAGCAATAAAATTAGGTTTGTAATATTTTCTTATTCTGATTCTATTACACTTTAAAATTACTAGAATCTATTCCAAGTATAGTGGTCTGCCTCTTTTTCCCACATTCATTTTACTAGTATGTTTAGAATCTCATTTAGCTTTACTGTATTTTACTAAAAGTTAAAAATGTAGGTACTCATGGGGTAGAAAGTGATTTTCTCCCAAACTTCCTTACAAACTGTGTATTTTTTTTTTAGAAAGACCCTTAGAAGATTTTATAATCTCTCTTAATGAATAATAAATGGATTTTTAGTTTATTTATTATTTGCTTTGTGGAGATAAAGTTAATAGTTGATATTCTATTTGATGTTAACTTGAATTATTCTCTTTTAAAAGTGAATATTTCTATGTCTCAACTACTTAAGGTCATACTTTCTGTAGACGTGCATATTTGAATGAGACTATTTGAAATTTAGGGCTCATAATTGTTTTTATTAAGGTGAATTATTATTTTTAGCTTTTCAAACACTTCTTTGTCACAACTGAAATTATTCTTAAAGACAGCACTGTTCAGTTTAATAATATTTCTCAACTTTTAAAAAAATATATGTGGGTATCTTATTTCACCACCTGAATGGAGATGACCATATCATGTTTTTCTTTGCATTTTAACATTGTGAAAAAAGAGAACTCAAGGGCCATATTTCCTAGTTAATATTTGAGCTGTATTTCAGTATTACATTCAGTACTCTTCTTGAATCCTTGCTATGTGAGCAGAGTCATCTTTGTTCTAGCATGTCTGACTATCTTTTACTTTGGAATCAGTGATTCTATAATTTTAAAGTTAGTCTGATCCATTGTTTAAAGGTTGCATATCAATTTACATAGATTTTTTTTTCTTTTTTGGTACCAGGGATTAAATTTAGGAGCACTCGACCACTGAGCTACATTCCCAGCCCTATTTTGTATTTTATTTAGAGATAGGATCTCACTGAGTTGCTTATTAGCACCTTGCTTTTTTTTTTTTTTGAGTTATACATGGACACAATATCTCTATTTTGTTTATTTAATTTTTTATGTGGTGCTAAGGATTGAACCCAGTGCCTCATGTGTGCGAGGCAAGCACTCTTCCCCTGAGCTATAACCCCAGCCCAACACCTCCCTTTTTGCTGAGGGTTGCTTTGAACTCACAATTCTCCTGTCTCAGCCTCCCAAGCCGCTGGAATTACAGGCTTGTGCCATCATGCCCAACCAGTTTACATAGAATTTTACTAAAAATAACCATTACCTTAATTCAAAAAAGATGTGTGGAGCTCCTGTATATACAAGGCATTTCCCTTGATACTGATGATATAAAGATGAATTAGATGTAGACCCTATCTTTAAGTAGGCTTTTAATTAAAAAATAAGACATACACTAGTATGGCAGTATGTAAAAACGTGGATGTATAACCGATGTGATTCTGCAATCTATATATGGGGTAAAAATGGGAGTTCATAACCCACTTGAATCAAATGTATGAAATATGATATGTCAAGAGCTATGTAATGTTTTGAACAACTAATAATAAAAAAAAAGAAATTGGAGCTGGGGATGTGTCTCAGTGGTAGAACTCTTGCTTAGCATGTGTGAGGCACCGAGTTTGATTCTCAGCACCACATAAAAATAAGTAAATAAACTAAAAGTACTGTGTCTATCTTCAACTAAAACAAAAAATTAAAAATTAAAGATATTGCCATAATATAAGAAGCTATTAAGAAACTTGGTAATAGTTTTTTTATAAAACATTTGCCAACCTGTCATCTTAACTAATTTCCATTATTTTGTATGACCATAAAATAAGCAGTACAGTTTATAATATGAGAAGGATGCATAGGGTCTTGACCTAATTTTGCCATTTATCTTGTGGATGCCAGACTCGCTACATTAGGATAGATGGAAGTGTTCCATCTTCAGAAAGGATACATCTGGTTAATCAATTTCAAAATGATCCTGATACTCGTGTGGCTATTCTAAGCATTCAGGCTGCTGGTCAGGTAAGAAATTTCAAGTCTCAATTTGATATGAAAATGTCACTGAGATAATAAAAAGGCCATTAACCATAATTTTGGTTTGTAAACTATAGTGTAATTTTTGGTTTGTCACTGGTTTTGCTATAAGTAGCTTTATATATGGATCCTTGTTTTAATATTTATTCTATTTTAGAGAATGCTAAAAAGTGTAATAGAAAGAAGCCTCAACATTTTTGACTCAAATCTTCCTAAATTTTCAAGTAAAGAATTACCCAGCAGAGTATAGTTAATTTGATTGTAGTACTTTACTATGACCTTTTTTCCTTCCTTTGAATTTTCTCAAAACTTTGTTATACCACTTATCTTACTTGGTTGTGGTTCATTGATATGTGAGACAACATGGTCTGGGAGGGAGAAATTCTTTTGTCCAAGAACTTGTTATAGAGTGCTCTGATGTGTAAGTAAATAAAAACTCAGATTAAGAGTGACTTAAACATAAAAAATTTCATTCTCTCTTGCAGAGAGTCCAATCCTAGAATGGTGGTTCCACAAAATCCTTAGGACCCATGCCTCTTCTGGCTTTCTGCTTTACCACTCCAGACAAGTATCTGTAATCTAAGAGGGCTGCTAGAACTTCTCAATCATATCTGTAATTCAGGCAATTGCCTGAAGGAAGACCCACTACATCTTCTCACTGGCTTGCAGTTAGTCCCATGGTCACTTCAAACTTACAAGGGAAGCTGGAAAGAGTAGTCTTTATTCCCAGTACCCCTGATAAAATCCAGGTGTTACGTTATGGAGGAATAAGAGAAGAATAAATATTAGGGAAAGCAATGACAGTCATAGCCACACTATATTGAGGGGATCTTTCTGTACTTTTTTTTTCCTATATTCTAAAATATTCCTATGTAAGTGTTTTAAGTCAGTACATTCAACATACGGAAAACTAATTGAGAGTACTTCTGTGCCTGCAACCTAATATATAGCAAAGATCTGCTTCTACTCAGCTAAATGATTTAAATAAAATTGTATATATAGGGCTGGGGTTGTGGCTCAGTGCTAGAGTGCGTAGCATACATGAGGCACTGGGTTCGATCCTCAGCACCACATAAATGTAAAATAAAGATATTGTGTTGATTAAAACTAAAAAATAAATATATTTTAAAAAATAAAATTATGTATATAAAGAAATTCTGAGGATGAAGCATTTCTGGAACTCACAAGGAATTCAAATTAAAGAGAGGGTTATCTCAATACTTCTGTCATGTTCCATTGTATGTCCAGTAATCTGAGCTCAGCATCTGTTAATAGTATTCCAGATATAGAAATACTAAGAAAAGCTTAAAATTAGAAATGGAGTATTTATAGCAAGGTAGGTGATACATAGGAGAAAACCAGGCAGGATAGACTGGAACTTTTTCAAATTAAAAATACAATTAAAAAATAAATGACTTTTTGAAGTTAAGAATGTACAAGTCACTCCCATATTATTCAAAGCTATGCTCCTGAAGACCTGTTATAATTCAAGACTCTTATACTTTGAAGACTAATATCTTCATAGGAATAAAGGAAAGTAGGAAGGTCTTTGTTCTTAGCACTGAGAATCTTACATTATAGGTTAACAGCTCTCAGGATGATATAGAGGGGTTAGGGATATAGATCAGTAGGTAGAGTGCTTGCCTCAAATGCACAAGGCCCTGGGTTCAATCCGTAGCACCACCAAAAAAAAAAAAGATGACAGTGATCTTCACAGCATATTTTCCTTTATTCTTATATGGTCATGTGATCCTTTTTACAAGTTTAAAGGTGTTCCTCTCTAAATGCTACTTCTTATTTTTCAGCATCATCTCTAATATTTGATAGTACATTTTGTCCTAAATAGCAGTGGGTTTCAACATTGTGTTTATTCGGCTCTATCCATGTTTTTGTTACTTGTAACCTATTTTATAAAGTGACTAGTTTTCAATGAAATTTTCAGCTTGAGACCTAGTGCTGCATTAAATGAATGCTAATATGAGTTTGTTATATGACACAAAAACATTTTAAGTTAAAATAATATCATCACAAAAACTACTCACTCATAGAACTTTCAATGCATGTGAACAACACCATGGATTAGACCATCTTCCTAAAGGTTGGTAGATTTTCTGACCACTACCTAACGTCGTTTACTACTATATGGCCATAGTATAAGCATTGTTTACATCTCACTCAGTCTACCAACTTTAATATCATGCATCTTTGTCATAATTTTTATTTGAGGAAATTTGCATTGTTTCATATTGCTTATACAATAAGACAGTTCATATTTTTATGTCACACTATTTCAAATTCATGCAAAATGCAATTACAAAAAAATCCTGATGCATTATATATATATTGAGACATAAAGCACTAAACTTCAGTGTCTTCAGGATGTATCATGAGTAATTTCACAGGTAGAAAAAAGTATCACTGAAGACATGATTTTCTTACTTTATAGTACTGCAGTTTGAATTAAATGAAGAGGATGTCGATACTCTCTGCCTAGTTGCTATGGATACCATGTGTTAGAAATTATATTCACCTTTATTATATATTTTATTAGATTTTCCAGTATTAAAGTGAATCCAGTCTTCATCAAAGAATGAAGTGATTTTGTTTATGTATATCCATCAACCTGAAACATTTTGAAACATCAAAATGTCTTTTAAATATATTTTTTGTAGTTCACTTGACTGTCTTGCAATAAGTAATCTTTTAACTTTTTTGAATCTTCTTAATTTGGCATAAAATGAACAACTGATTTGTTTCTAAGTCCTCTGATGATCTCCATTTAACATATTCAGAAAGACTTTATTGTATATGACTGTTGTGCTACAATTTTTAATTTATTTGCATCTCAGTTTCTTCACTATCTTTTGCTTAGGGTTTAACATTTACTGCTGCAAGTCATGTTGTATTTGCTGAGTTGTACTGGGACCCTGGACATATAAAACAAGCAGAAGACCGTGCTCACCGAATTGGACAGTGCAGTTCTGTGACTATTCACTACCTTATTGCAAATGGGACTCTGGACACCCTTATGTGGGGAATGCTGAATCGAAAGGTAGAACTTGCATTTAAACCAAGTTACTAACTTGCTTATTATGGTCTATAGCCTGAATCAGTTAAGAAGCTGAGATTTGGGCTGGGGATGTGGCTCAAGTGGTACTGCGTTCGCCTAGCATGTGTGAGGCACTGGGTTCAATTCTCAGCACCACATAAAAATACAATAAAGATATTGTGTCCACCTTAAAAAAAAGCTGACATTTAATGTCTTCAGGCAAAGTACATCAAGGTAATAATAATAGAGATCATAATGCTTACCACTGATTCTACTGCTTCAGAACTAGAAGAATAGGATCAGCTAGCAAGGAACCTAATATTTGAAACTCCAAGTTCTTTTTGTAGCCTAAGACTAAATCCTTTCCAGAAAGATTCTTGAGTTCTGATCTAATATTAGACAAAGGACATCCTTACCCAGACCCTAGAAAAGTTAGGAGTGAGCTGAATATGGTGGCACACACCTGTAATCTCAGGGACTCAGGACATTGAGGTAGGAGTATCACAATTCAAGGCTAGTCTGGGCCAGTTAGTGAGACCTTGTATCCAAGTAAAAATAAAAAGGACGAGGGATGTAGCTTAGTGGAAAAGTATACTGGGATCCAATCCCCAGTACCCAAAATAAAAAAGAAAAGTTAGGAATGGCATTATTTGCTCTGTTCTCTAAACTATCTCTTCTCCCTAATCTTGAAGGATGTTTATAGAAAGGGCTTGACTAAGTATTAGAGGATTTCTGTCTTAATAAGTGCTATTGTAACAAAATACTACATACTGTTGACACAAGGGCAATAGAAATTTATTCCTCACAGTTGGGGAGGTTAGAAGTTTGAGATCAGGGTGCCAGCATGGTTGGATTCTGATGAGGGCCCTCTTCCAAGTTGTAGTCTGCCAGCTTCGTGTATCTTCACATGATAGAAAGAGAACTCTCTGGGGTCCATTTTATAAGTGTAGTATTCCCATTCATGAAGGCTCCACCTTTACCACATAATCACTTCCCAAAGTTCCAGCCTCCTAATATCATCATATCGGGAGCCAGAATTACATCTTAATGGATTTTGGGAGGCAGCATAAATATTCATTCTGTTGTAGTATTTTTCAATCATTGAGTATAGATATTCAAAATGGCCTATTATCTCTAAGTTAAAATTCAAAGCATATAAATATTAAAAGCTTTTATGAGAAAAGCAAATATTGTAATGTTTCTAGTTAGAGCTTTCCCTCATTAAGCATAGAAATCATTGAGATGGTAATTTGGTTGTAAATTTGAATATCTATATTACTAAAGTTGGAATAGTAATATTCTCTTAGTGGATAACTTATGGTTTAAATGCAAAATCAAGTTACTACTTAATGAATGTCATCTGTGAGATAAACTGTTGTAAAATTCATATGTTTTTTCATCTTACAGGTGCGGGTCACTGGGAGCACATTAAATGGTAGGCAGGAACAGCTTCAGGCTGAAGAAGATGATAAGGAAAAATGGGATTTCCTGCATTTTGCTGAAGCATGGACTCCAAATGACAATTTTGAAGAGCTCAGGAAGGAAGTTTTGTTCACTCATGTAAGATGATTTGACTTGTTCTTTTCTACTTTTTTTAATATCCTGAAAGTATAACTTCATCTTATATGGTTTTAAGTAGTAACTCAATTATTCAATGCTCTTAAAAGGGGTCTTCACTTAAAGCTGGAAAACCTCATATAACAAAAATTAACATTGATCAGAGGCTGCTACAGTAGCTTTTATTTTCTAACATTTCAGCCTTTACAGTTCAGCTCATTAATTAAATAAACTGAATAGGATCCAACTTTCAGAAGAAAATATGGTTTGGATGTGAGGTATCCCCTAAAAGCTCACATGTGAGACAATGTAAGAAGGTTCAGAGGAGAAATGATTGGATTGTAAGAGTCTTAACCCAATCAGTGAATTAATCCCCTGATGGGGGTTAACTGAATGGTAACTGAAGTGGTATGGTATAGGAATTGGGGTGTGGCTTTGGGATATATATATTCGTATCTAGCAAGTGAAGAACTCTCTCTCTGCTTTCTGATCATCGTGATGTGAGCTAATTCTCTTTACCACATACTCCACCATGATGTTCAGCTTCACCTCGAGCCCTGAGGGATGGCACTTGCCTTCTTTGGACTAAGATCTCTGAAATCTTGAGCCCTCATATAAATCTCTTTTCCTCTGTAATTGTGCTGATCAGGTCCTTTAGTCACAGCAGCAAAAAAACTGACTAAAACACTTTATGACTGAAAATAGGGGAAAGTAAAAGAAATTTGCCTCAAAATGCACAAATCGTAAAGGAAATGAGAGATGTATTAGTCTATATCAAAATCAAAACTTTCGTTATAAAAAATGTCCTACAAATAAGTTATAGTCTGAGTAAAGACTTTCAAAATACAATATCCAAAGTATATAAGAAATTTGTACAACTCAATACAACACAAGAAAATCAACAGAAAAATAGGCAAAGACTAAAGAGAAGACCTTCCCAACCAATAAATATAATAATTTCCACCTTACTAAAATAAGGCAAATTCTAAAAATAATTTTTTTCTTTTGCAATTAGCAAATAATATATGGTGTAATAATTTCAAATCATGTGTCCATTCTTTCCCCAAAATCTTTCATCCAGTGGTTTTAGCATTCACTGATGATTTTTGCCTGAAACAGTTTCAAAATGGTGGTTTTCTAATTCTACCATTGCTTCCATATTTATTAGCTGTTGTTTTTCTACAAAGAAGAAATTTATTTTTCGTCCTTTAAAAAAATATCACTATAAAGTTGAAGATTTTTAAATTTTGTTATTAATATTTAATGCATTATAATCCTTCACTTTTTTTTTCCTTTTTATCTTTAAGCTTAGATCTGTCCTGTGAACGCTCCTTTAAACTGTTGTTTTGTTTTGTTTTGTTTTGTTTCTGTAAACATTCCCATAATTCCTGAGTAGTTCTTTCTCTTTTTCTGGCACACAAAATATTCCAGATTCACCTTGAGTTTTCCTTGCCCCAGGCTTGGAACTGACCATTTCTTTAATGACCCTTTATTGTCTTTCCTATGAAATAATATTTACAAATTAGGATTTTTAAAATTCCTTTTAGGTATCATTGCTTCTAGACTCTTTTCAGTATACAGAGTTACATTCATATTTGCATGGAAAAATAGATATGTATGTATGCATTTTTAAGTCATAAAATCCTACTAATAGCTTCAGTTAGAATCCAGCATCACCAAATTCTTCTTCATCTTTTCTATCTGTCTATACAGATAAAAATATTTATATTTTCCTTAGCCAACAGTGAAAATTCTGATTCTTACCATCATCAACATATTTACTCAATAGGTGAATAGATACATAAATTGTCATAAAGTGCTATTTAGAAGTTAATGTGAATCAAATTAGATTTATATGTATCAACATTACCACACCTGAAAATCAAAATGTTATTTTTTAAAGGCATAGCGCGCACACACACACACACACACACACACACACACACACACAAGAATACTTACATTTATGTATATGTATATGTATAATAAAACATGTAAACATGAAATTTACAAAATTGGTTGCCTCTGGGAGAGGAGGAAAGTAAGTCTAAGAAAGAGTAAAAATGTGATAGCAACTTCAAAGAAATGTTTTATTTCTTTTACTATAGAAAAGGATTATAAGGGGCTAGGGTTGTGGCTCAGTGGCAGAGTACTTGCCTAGCATGTGTGAGGCATTGGGTTCAATTCTTAGCACCACATATAAGTAAATAAAATAAAGGTCCACGTACTACTAAAAAATATTTTTAAAAAAGAAAAGGAATAGAAGTAAATATAAAAATGTTAGCATCTGTAAATTTTGTATAGTAGGAATAAGGATGTTTGTGATACTCATGTTATTGGAGGCCATGTATGACTCAATACTAAATACTGTATTAGAGAAATTTATAATTTCATTCTGTTTTCTGCCTCCTAGGAAATATGGTGCAGAGTTATGAAGAGTTTATTTTTGTTTTTTGTTTTTTTGTTTTTTTGTTTTAGTTATCAAGAGGCCTTTATTTTATTTATTTGTATGTTGTGCTGAGAATCAAACCTAGGGCCTCACACATGCTAGACAAGCGCTCTGCCACTGAGCTACAACCCCAGCTCCCGAAGAGTTTACTTTAAATTTTCCAAAGAGTCAATCAGAAATTGTAGGAACAAAATTAAAATATTTTCTTATAACACAAAGTTAAAATTTTAATGTAAAATTTAGTTCCATTAAACATTTTTATTTGGAATCATACCAAGTTTTTAAATGTACCTTATTTGAAAAGCTAATACCTTTTTTTCCTTCAATGCTAGAAAGCCATTCTGTTAATTCTTGCTAAAAATTAGAGGGATGATTTCTAAGTTTTTTTTTAGCTTCAGAAACTACTTTCTTTTAACAATGTTATCTATTTTATAAATAAATCCGTAGAAATCCTAGGTCTTTGCAAAATATATAAATAAAACTATGCTCATGGCTGCTTTTTTCTCTAAAGTTCCTTAAATTTCAAATTATTTTTAAGAGTTCATTTCTGTGCTCTCTTCAGCAGGCAGCACATATACTAAAATTGGAAAGACACAGAGAAGATTAGCTTGGCCCCTGCACAAGGATGACACACAAATTCGAGGAGCGTTCCATTTTTTTTAAAAAAAGTTTATTTCTAAGATAGACAACTAAGCATTTGAAATGTATCTTCCCACATGTGTACATATTTATTGTTTTTTAAAGTTTCTCTGAAAAAAACTATCTACATACAAGGTGAAAGAAAAATTCATATTTACCAAATCTTACTTTCTTGAGTTACATGTATGTCTTCCCTAGTCTAGTGTTATCTTAACACAGATTTTCCAGTGCATGTGTTTATACACACATGGTTTTATATAAATTGTATCTTAAAATGAAGGTATCCTGTGTTTTGAGTTGGTCTGCTTTGGTTGTATTTAGTTGTTTGTTGTTTGGCCAACATGCAAAATGTGCTTTGGTTGACTTTAGATGGGCAATGACCTCTCTATCTTTATGCTCCAGCCTTGTGCATTTTAAGAAATGTTCAGTTTTTTAAAAGCCTTAAGGAATTTAGTGTACCAATGAACATATTTTTTTTTCTTTATACTGTCAGAACTTCAGCATTTCCAATGGGAATTTTTCTATTTATGCTGATTTCTTTCTAAGCCTTCTAAAAAGCCTTTAAAAGTTTTTTCAGCATTAGCATTTTTAACTTACTTCCAGTTTTGTCATTTAAATTTCACCAAATTAACCAGACTTGCCAGTTGTCATCAAAAACTTCCTTAACTACAAATTTATAGCAGTTCTAATTGGACGTTTTTTAGCAGCTTCTGGATAGTTCTGTGATATCAGTCAGCGTTTTAAGGAATGTTCATTTCATCTCTGTCCCAGCTCCCTGCAGCTGCAACTGGAGGGAGCTGGAGCAAAGAAGAGTGACCTTCTTCTATAGGAAGATAAATTGACTATGTAGTTAGCACATGACTCAGCTCAACTTGTCAACCCAGAGATGGGAAGACCGAGAAGCTCAAAGAAGATTAGACCAAGAGCAGAGAGTAAACCTGAGGAAAAGAAATGGTAAACTGAGGGCAGAAAAAGAGTCCAGAGGTCTAGCACCTTGCTTACCTGGTTCCCTATAGTCTTCTTACCTCTGCCAATTAATCAGATTCTAAAAGCTACAAACCCTGTAAATAATTTCTAGAAAACCAGTGAATTTGGCAAATTGATCTTCATTGAATTACATTTTAGGTGTATTTACTTTTTAACATGTTGGTCATTGGGCAAATAGTATATGAGATTTTGGCAAATTATTTTTCTGAGAATTGACCTAGAGCATAATATTGCTGATTATGATTCCTGGGAACAGGGAGATCTGTGATTAGGAAAAGGAGAAGAATGAAATACTTTCCTAGACACAAATTTTGTATTTTTTTTTTATGTTTCCTGCCTTCTTTCTCTTCTGATACTGTGCCCTTCAAAATTACATTCTCTCTCTCTCTCTCTCTCTCTCTCTCTCTCTCTCTCTCTCTCTTTTAATCAGTGTCCTCTTTCTGCCACATAACTCACCTAACTATTGATACTGAAAGAAAAATACATAGAACCAATACTGGGACTCCAGTATTGTATACTAGTATAAATGTACTTGTATAAGTTTTTAAAATATTGAAATATTTGGGTAATTTTTTTAGCCATTCTTCAATCCCTTCATTTTACTCCTTCAACTCACCACTAGGACTTTCTGGTTCTCGCCATAATCAAGCATCACTTGGGCTTCTATGACTCTATTTCAACCCAAGCTTGGCAGATACCTCTCCTCTACCTATTGTTAAGCATTGGTATTTCAGTAATCCACACAAATTCATGAGTCACAATTCTTTGCCCATCCCAATATGTTTATGTTTTTAAAAGAAATTATTTATTAGCTCATATAAAAGCCAACTTGAAATCCAACTCAGATGGAGACAACAGATTTCACCTCCATGAAGAAAGATGCCTCTGCACATTGTGGTTGCCAGTCCCTGAGTAAGCAGTCCTATGT